AGGATGACTCGGGCTTATTCAATTAAAGATGTTCATAATTTTCATGTCTCAATGAAAATATGACACTAAATAGGACGCAATGGAGAAAAAGGATTCATGTAGCCGTCCCCACGTAGTGGGATTAAGGCTTTGTTGTTGTTGTTGTTGTTGTTGTTGTATCCATACATACCAAACAATTCTTATGTATTTACACATCCAACACCTAAATTTTACTTTATACATTTATACCACCCAAATCCTTTATTTCACATAAAAAATGCCATTTTTTTAACTTTTAAAATATGAAATACACTTTTTCATGTATAGGTAAGGTGCCAATTTTGCACAAATTGATGTTTAGATGTTAGATATGCAAATACATAGAAATTAAGTGACATGTATGTAAATCTTCCTAAATTTTTTTTTTCTTTTTATTACTCATGCACTAAATGTATCAGCCAGGCTTAAGTTTGTAATTGCATGTTATTACATATGTAATAATCTCTGGCTCACCTCACTTGCCTTACTTTAAATTATTTATTGAAGGCCGTGCTGCTGGATTTTGTGCGATGTGTGCTCTACAGAATCATGTCATGGATGCCTTACAGTCAACCGGGAAAATATTAAGGCCTTTTCATATCGTCAGGAACTTGCGGTGTATCCAAAACATATCTGTACTTACAAAGTTTGAACTTCTTTAGGCCAACTTTCTTGATTAAAGCCAGTTTTCTCTGCCAACATTGTAGACTATATGATATATTAAACTTTGCATTAGATTTTTTCTTGGTGTCAACTTGTTAGCCTTAACAATTTGATTAGGTATATCTCGCAATTTTCGCAATTCCAGACAGGAAGACGCACACGAGTATATGGTTAACTTGCTTGAATCGATGCATAAGTGCTGTTTACCTTCAGGCGTCCAAAGTGAGTCACCCAGTGCTTATGAAAAGAGTCTAGTCCACAAGATATTTGGCGGTCAACTCAGGAGTCAGGTAATTCAAACATAAGGGTTGTTAGCTAATTATAGATTTTATATTTTGAAATTATATGCAGTCATTACTTTCTATTGCAGGTCAAATGCAAGCAATGTTCTTATTGTTCCAATAAATTTGACCCCTTTTTGGATTTGAGTCTGGAAATAGTAAGGGCTGATTCATTAAAGAAAGCTTTTGCACATTTCACCGCTATGGAACAATTAGATGGCGGTGAAAGACAATATCAATGTCAGCGCTGCAATAAAAAAGTTCAGGCTTTTAAGCAACTAACGATTCACAAAGCTCCCTATGTACTTACCATTCATCTCAAACGATTTGGTTCGGGTGTCCGTGGAGAGAAGATTAATAAGAAGATTGAGTTTGAGCCTACCTTGGACGTGAGGCCTTTCTTTAGTGGCGTTCATGTGAGCTGTTTTTTATCAATTTTTACTCCTCCTTGTCCTGAAGAACTGCGGCATCCAAATTATCCTTGCTTTCTGTTTTTGAATTTACTTTTTACAGGAAGGAGAATTGAAATATACCCTTTATGGAGTTCTGGTTCATGCTGGTTGGAGTACTCACTCTGGTCACTATTTCTGCTACGTGCGGACCTCGGCGGGCTTGTGGTACTCTCTTGATGATAACCATGTTAGTATGTTGCACTCTTGTTCCTTCTCTATTCTTACTAGTAGTTCTAAACCGTAATATGATGGTGCTAACATAGAATATTTGATGGATGACTCTCATATCTTAATAAGATCAAAGGTCTCAATAAAATTTTTATCTAAATGATATTGGAACAAGTATAACTCATATTTTAGGGGTTGCGTAACGAATATATTCTTAGTACTTTCACAATCTTGATGGACTATAGCTAATTGCACATAATTTTTTACTAAAAAAGGTTGATAATAAGGGTAATTAACATCTTGATCTTGATTACGGATGACATCATATGGGTTACGGGAAAGTTTCATTTCTTAGAGATTATGATCGTCTTGTAATTGTAGGACAAAACACTAATAGTGAAAATCTTCATGGCGAATAATTATTGGATCTATAATGATATTTATGGTAACCAAAATCCTGGGGAAACAAGCATTTCTGTTAACTTCTGACTGCAAAATAATGATGTCAAGAATAAATTGCATTAGGATAACAATTTTGGTCGCAATGTCTTGAATGTTACCCATAATGATTTTCTTGGCATGATGGGGAAGGCTACTCATTTTCTATTACTTTTTTCACGTTGGTGATACAAAATCTATTTGAAAGTTATCCTAATGAGTTTAAAAAAAATTATATTGGAGCAAAAATAATGTGACATAAATGACAATGACACTTGAAAATGTAAAATATAAACTAGAAAATGACTTGAAATTATGTTACAGGTTGTGTAAAAGGCCTCGTGATGGAGAAAATGAACTTACATAGGCTTTGACGGCTTGCCAAGTGCTAACTGAGGAGAGCCAGGGTGTCTTGCCATCTCCTTATAAGCCATGATCTCAAATGCCTAATATCTATCATTTATAGGCCCAGTTTTTTTTCCATGGAACCCACTTAAGTATTTACATGGTGAAGTAAAATAAAAAAATACATCAAATTAAGTATTCCACTTTGAAAGAACTGTTACTCATTTTTTATTCAAATTTCATTCATGCAGGGCTAGGAATGACTTCAGGTCGTTGCATGTCCTCAAATGAGAAGTTCATAATGATGTTCATGATATTCTGAAATGCACAAACATATGAAAAAAAATAATAAAATGAAAAAATTCATGGAAAAAGTATGAAATATTCCCCACTAGAAGGGTCAATGCCAATGCAAGGACAAAAAATCAAAGAAAACATTGAAAATTTTGGGAAGCTCAAAAAAAATTTATGATATTTTTCGCAGCCGTATTTTTTTCTTAGATTATCTCAGGATTGTATTGAAGTGTAGTTCACTATTTTCCACTTAGTATAAAATATGCAAATACCAATTCTAGAAAATTTGAGGTTTAAATATTGGGGAAATATGATTCTGTTGAAGTCAGAATGTTCACATGCGATGGGTGTAGTTGATAGGGCTTGTGTTCGGAAAGTTATTTCATACAATCCTTTTCCAAAATGGACCAAAAGATTGGTGTGTCAATCATGAGGCTCGCTAAAATATTTTTTATCATATTCAAATAAAACTTTCATTGCATTCCTTTGCAAAAATTTACTCTTTTATAGGGCGAGACCATTAGTCTCAATCCTCAAATGTTTCTTCAATAAATAAATAACAAAGTTTACACAATCTACGGCTCACCAACAGTTACCAAAATAAATTAAAAGCATTATGTCCATTATCAAATCAGTCTTGTTCATCGTGATTTGGGACCAATAATAAGGTCTACTAAAATATTTTGTAAAGCATTGCATAATGGCTTCAAGAACTTTTGTAAGCGTCAACCCCAATGCAATGCATGTTAAAATTAATATGAGCACAATTCTCTTTTCTTTGTGATGAACTCCATGGTTTGACCTGCAAATGCTTACAATTTATGGGTATAGCAAGAGACTTCGTTTCGGTGATTACTCTAGCCCCATCTCAATTTATTTTTTATCCTCTTTTGTGTCATGAGATATCTCTCAAATTTTCCAGAAGTTGCAGCAGATACGGACTTTATGGGTCAATCATATATCTTATGAAGTATCAAACATTTCTTCTGGATTATTGTGATATTGCTTCTAGGTTTTACGCATCTCAATGAGACATCTACATATATACTTTTATACTCTCTTTCTAAAGTTGGAGATTCTATCCATAACGTCCCTATGAGTTGCCTAAATGCTCATAAACATAAATGGCATTATTAGTATAATCATGGAAAAAAGCAATTTTTTTCATCGTTTTGGTGCAATTATGTTTGGTGATATCCTAAAAATGTAAAAATGAAGCTCATAATGCAATGATTTCCAATAGAGTCGTCCGACTCGTCATTTGATGGTATCTTGTTTTGAATTTATGAAATCAATACAAACTTTACCATTCTTGCTATCTTTTTTCACCTCTGTTATGTTTGGCGTACGATTTGGATATTCGTTTTCCTTTTTAAATAAAGTGCCATGTTTCTCACCTCTGTTATGTTTGGTGTACAATTTGGATATAGGTTTTCTTTGTTTAATCAAGTGTAATGGAGTTTATGCACTTCTCCCTGATTGTTTTTCTTCTTTTGGACCCCTTTTAGCCTCTTTTTCTTGGTTGAAGGGCTTATTTTCTGGTTCCACGTTCCATAAAAATGACAAATTTCTTGTTTGAAAATTATCTGACTGTAACATGATCCATTGAAATAACAACTCCAATCTTGTTTAGTTAAGGGTTAATGAAGATTGACTTATAAGTGGAGAGCACACATGAACAACTCTGAATTCAAACGTCCAAATGAACATTCTATGTTGATCACTCTAAGCCAGTCATGGAATAATTACTATATTATTTACAACTTATGCTAAGAAATCAAGCAAATGACCTTCAAACTGTCACAATTTCATCACTTTCGATTTTTATAATTTCAATGGTTTTGTAGAAGAATAAATCCATTAAGCTCCTGAGATTGATTTTACAACCTGTGTATTTTGAATTTCTTGAACATAATTATGTTGTAATTGATATTGTTATTATATATAAGTGTATGATCTTGTTAGACAGAGATTAATAGTGGCCAATGCATAAAATTACTTATAAGTTGGAGTTTTCGAAAGAGAATGTTTATGGAAGTCACCATCTCTACATCTCGAGGAATAGTGATGAGTGCTTGTGTTATTGAACTATATGTGCCTTTTTGGCATGCTAAAGTTCAAGATTGATAAATCTGGTAAATAAAATATAGGTGCATTTACATACATACCACCCAATTCCTACATATTTACATATCTAACATATATGAGACCACCCAATTCCTACATATTTACATATCTAACATATAAAATTTACTTTTTACATTGAGATCACCATTTTAACTTTTAAAAAGTGAAATGCTCCTTTTTCATGCATAAGAATGGTATGTGTGTAAAAACTCAACTTTAGTTGCTAGATATGTAAATACATAAGAATGAAGTGGTATTTATGTAGATCTTCGAAAAATATTAGAACAAGACTGAAAACCTTACTTACGCTGAAGATATGTAAATACATAAGAATGGAGTGGTATTTATTTAGATCTTCCAAAAACATTATAACAAGACTGAAAACCTTACTTACGCTGGAAGAGTTTTGAATATATCATTGCAGGTATCACAAGTCAGTGAGAAGACCGTTCTATCGCGAGAAGCATATATGCTATTTTATGTCAGGGATAGAACCTACCCCATTAAACCACCAGTTCAGGTTAACCTCAACGCTAATATTTCTGCAAACGCTAATATTTGTTCTACCGGTAACAAAGAAGCTCCAGTAATGGAGAAAAGATCAATTACTGCAGTTTGCAGCTCAGCCAATGCTAGCCATGATTCTATTGTTCATGATCATACTACAAATAAAAATTTTTGCTTGGGAGTCAACGGTGATGTTTCAACAAATAGATTGCGTGATACGGTGCTACCGACGAATAAGGCGGAATTACGTGATTCAGTAAAGTCAAAGCTTCCTTTTGGTGCCAAGGTAACTTAGTTTTGTTGAGTTTTTAGAAACATTCGAAGTAATTTTTAGATGTTTCGAGTGTTAAAATAAATAATAAAAGCATGCTAAAAAAATCATTAAACAAATACAAACAAAAAAAAACAAAAAATAAAAATTATCCGAAACAAGACCTTAGTACTTGATTAGGAGATGTTTTATTTAGTATTTTATGATTTGATTGTAGAATGAAGATGTAAATAAGAGTACTCTGAACAATATCGCCCAACAAAAGATGGAGACGAATTTAAAATCAAGCGGTATTGATGATCGAAGACCTTTGAGCCCGATGCAGCAGAATCGAAAAATACGATTGCGAGCAGAAGGCGGCTTGTATTTTGGGCGCAAATGTTTGCTCTTCATGTCGCTCAGACTTCGGAAGAAGAAAGCTTGTATTTTGGGCGCAAATGTTTGCTCTTCATGTTGCTCAGACTTCGGAAGAAGAAAAAGAAAACAAAAGTTCAGCATCAGAATTCTAGGAATAAGATAAAGAGGAGAGCAATAGATACTGCTGATGTGGATTCCATGAATTCCACTTCAGGGAAGAAATCCAAGAGACGGAAATATGTAGAGTCTGGTGATGATTACAGTCAAATGAATGATGAAGAAATTAATAGAAGCTGTATAAATGGTGATAAATCTCGAGCTTCAAAGCGATCCAGTGGATCCTCAGGGTGCGCAGAGGGACAGCAAAATGTGAAGGTTGAGAATGTTGAAGATGAGAAGATTATAGAAAACTATCCGGTCAGCTTACTGAAGGAAAGATTGAAAGAAACCCCTGGTGAGTTTCTAGCTGTTTCAATTGCAGCATTTTTCTTCTACTGTCTATTCCATTGTGTTTCTTCTTTGGGACATTTACATTACATACCATCCAATTTATCTTTTTTACATTATTACCACCCAAAGCGTTCGAATCGCATAAAAAATACCACTATGTTAATTTTTTTAAAGGGAAATATACCTTTTTCATGCATAGTTAAGGGGGGCATGCATGCAAAGAATGAAGTTTGATGTCAGATATTGTAAATACATAAGAACTTAGTGGTGTGTATGTAAACCTTACTTCTTTTGGTATATTCGTCTTTTAAAAATATCGACTTTGTCATTCGCAGTTGCGAGGTGGGATGCGGAGGACTTGCCAGCACCTCAAATAAATGAGATGGAAGATCCTCCAAAGAGAAACATCGGTTATATGTTGGATGAATGGTAATAAGTTAATTTGCCTCTGTTTTATGCCCTTAAGATTAATGGGAGCATTTAGTTATGTGATCCATTTAGCCCATGTTAATCTGCTGTTTGCTTGTTAATCCAAGTTATTTTGATGTTAAATAAGTTTTGATTCATTTTATTGCCAAATCATATAATTGAATTGTCCACTTAGACTGAAAAAAAAAATGTAATTTTGGTTCAGGGATGAGGAATTCGACAGGGGTAAGAGAAAGAAGATAAAATCAAGGCAATGGTATGATGGGCCAAACCCATTCCAGAAAACAGCTGATTTTAAAACACAGCAGAGGATGATGAAGGAGCCGTTGAGAATTTGATGGAGATTAATGGATTTTTATTATTTATTATTATTATTTTTGATAGCTTCATTTTTGTTAGGGGCTTATGTGAGTTGTAAGTCAAATTTTGATGATTTAATGAGCTGAATAGATGTGTTGGAAGTCGAGAATTTATGACTTTAATGAGCAGAGTTTTGAGGTGGTCAGTGATTTTCTGCAGTTGGTGTATATAGATGATGGCGTTGGCAACAGTGTTTTTGTTAACTAGATTAGTTGATTAAAATTCAATAAATTAAGCATGAAGTTGCACGAAGTTTAAAGTATCTGAAAATGATCTCATGATTTATCTCTAGTAATAATTCTCTTCAATTTACTTCATAATTTTATCAAATAGACTTTTTGGATTTTTTCTCATGATAAATGAGCCACGTGAATTGATTTAATATGTGAAATTACGATCATAATTAAGCCTAATTAGTTAGTCAAACAGTGCGGATACAAGTAAAATTATCTTCTTGGTTTTCAGACCATTTAGTTCATTCAAATTTGGTGTATATATATATATGTAAAGAATGACTAAGAGGTGATTATACGAGCCTCCAGTCACCCTCATACGTCTATTTATTCGAGAACCGCCCTCACTACGAGCAGACAAATTGACCAAAGAGAGATTTGAATCCGTGTCTTAAGAGTATTTATGACCTTCAAAGAGTTTGCTTTAGGAAGAAGTCATAGCTGACGATATATATATATATATATCATCTTATCTAAAGCATAAAAAGGTGTTTTCATTTTTCAGAAATTTGGCTAAAAAGATATATTTTTGATGTGACATGAGATTTGTTTGCTATAAAAAAAAGAGTTAGATATGTAAATATATAGGAATTGGGTCATATGGATGTAAATTTATTTTTATGAATTTATTTTTAAGTTCCAAATCATTAAAATTTTATTCCATAATAGCCAATGAACAGTAGCTTCACAGCTAAAATATGCTTTTGGCACAGTGATTCTCCTATAATGATTAAGGAGGAGAGACCCACCCCCAACCCCCCTGATTCAACTATTGTAGATGTTCCTTCGCACTTGAAGCAGCTGCATGTTCATATTATGAAACTTAGAATGAATTGAACGCATAAAAGTAGACATTTTTGTCATCTTGTTCTGCCCAAATTACAAAACTTCAATGAATTAGCCTTGTTTAACACATAAATAATTTACTAAACTTACAAATATGCAAATAGCAGATCATATAGAACTGTTGGTAATAAGTACATGTAAATATATTATAAAGGGGAAGCACTTTACAATAAATAAATTGCGGGTAGAACTCCAGATATTTCAAGTTCTGGAGAAACCAGCTGCAAATTGTTGTCTTTGTTTGTAATTGTCAATATTTTCTGGGCTAGGCTGCCCAGTCAGATCTTCATACTTCTTCTCTAAAGCCTGCCATAATATGATTAAGTTTGAAGATGACGAAAGGTAATAAATTTGTAAGATATCTTGTTCAGTTCTTCAAGATAAAACAGATAAGACTAAAAAGGTGATACGAATAGAAATTGTGCAAAAAAAATTGCAAAAAAATGGAATGAATGAAGAGTAAAGATTCATAAAGTCCACCAAGCAGTTAGGATGATGTCAAGGACTCATTGTTCTTGGGCAGAAAATTTGTTGAGGAATATGATGATTTTGATGCAATTACAGACCCTAACAAGTTCATTTTTCAATAAGAATTTTCTAACTTCAAGTAATCAAATGAGTCCTAATTTAAAACAAAGATGTTATTGCCCGGCTTAAATAAAACGGTTAATTACTTGTTCATTGCTGACAAGTGTGTCATTTAAAGAATTATAATCAATTCTATATCACCCTTATTTGTTGAAAAATCATTCATCATCAACACATTCTCCTCAGCCTTATTCCAGCCTACTTGGAATTACTTTATCATCACCTATCAAATGAAATTCATATTTATTCGTAAATAAATGTGATATTTAACTCCTTGGAGTTCAACCAAACTGAGATGCCATTCTGTGGGTTGATAATATAAGAAATATAAATCCCATCTAATAAGCACAAAGCTTGTTTCTAGAGAAATTCTAAATATTGCATGAGTAAAATGTTGAACAAACTAGATTGCAGCTTTGCAGCATTATATTTTCAGTGCCAATGGGAAAGTTCTCAACTTCTCATATTTATAAAATCTCATTATTTTTCAACTGGCATAGATTGATTGGGGAAACAATTATTCTTAGTCATATGCTAACACTAAGCTGTAAAAATTTAAAATAAAAAATTGAAGGTAATAATAAATAAAATAAAAAGTTTAGACTCTGAATACAAACTGCACACAAGCAATGGTGATGTAGCTTATTATTACTCGTGCTACAAAACGAACCTTTAGTTCGGACCGAATGCTATCAAGCACATCTTCAGTCATCCGATCGAAAAACAGCATTCCCTGTTAAAAAAAAAAAAAAACTAGCTTTTAAGAAATTAGATATCAAGCTAAGCATGCAGTCACAAAAATATAGTTGCAGGGGAAATGAGCTCCAGCATTGCTAGATGTACAAGAATTTCATTGCTGAAGAAAAAGAAAACATGTAGATATTGGGATGGTTATATGGGATAAAAATTAAATCAGCACAAGGGACACAATCTGATCAATAGTTTTGTTCAAATGTTGTAAAATTGAATGTTTATACCATGTAATTATACAGCAAACCTTCAAATGTTGTAAAATTGAATGTTTATACCATGTAATCATACAGCAAACCTTCAAAAAATAAATAAATAAATAAATAAATAAATAAATAAGAGAAAGGACCATTAGAAAGTAATAAATTCCAACCAAAAGGAAAACAATCAATCCTTGAGGAATCTAACATAAATAATTAAAGAACGATATACTAGAAAGGATCCCGCTCAAATGAAATGCCTCCTGTAATCGGTTCAGTAGGAGAGAGCACTAGAGAGCAAGGAATCAATCTTGAAATAAAGTTCTGCGAATGCATGTGTCTGTATGGACGTGCAAATATGTGAGAAGATGGACTTACTCTTCCTAAAAGAAGAATCATCATTCTTATGCCACCTATATTTCAATGCCAGGAGTTTCTAATAGAAGATCAAAAATTTCTATTCTTTTTAACGTCGTTAAAACTAGTGGCATAATTATCATAAAAAGCCTCTAAATTTGCTTGATAATCTATTAGATGCATAAAATAAATCCTCAATAGATGGCTCCAAGTATTATAAGATAATTTAATTTTAATTTGCATCTTATGTATTTGATGGTTTTAATTGGTGAAATATATGGGTAAAACAAAATTCTCAAGTTATTATATGTCAATGGACCATTCTTGTTTCTTTAGCATATCTTGAGTAAGTAGATGTATTGTGGTGGATATAAAAAAGTAAAGAAAATTGTAATTGTTCTTTTGTGACAAAGACGCGCGCACGCACACACACGGATATGTACATACATATATGCATAAAGCATTCGTGGGAATATGGATTCATACATTTAAATACATGCACTTCTTCACAGCAAAGGAGAAATACCTAATAAATGAATGGAAAAAATATTACATTGTGATAAGCAATATATGGCATTCTAATCAGCATAAAATAATTATACTTTTTGCCCAATTATTTGCCTTAAGAACATGGCATGAATCTACAAATATATTCTATCTCAATTTAGTGGATTTCTTAAATCTTTTAAAATATCTTTCATCACTATGCACATGTCATCATCATCATCAGTCCCAACCATATGGGCTTGACATTTCTATTTTTTATCTTTAATCATGTGGTGTAATATATTCTTTTCAAGTTATTTAAAACAATTTCCATCAAAGTTATCATAAATCTCACTTCATTCTGAATCCTTCAATGCTAATTTTATCTACCAGTTTAATTATTGTATTTTCAACCTTTTGTCAATTTATACCTTTTAAAACATGAGAGTATAGAATCTACAAATATATTCTATCTCAATTTAGTGGATTTCTTAAATCTTTAAAAATATCTTTCATCACTATGCACATGCCATCATCATCATCAGCCCCAACCATATGGGCTTGACATTTCTATTTTTTATCTTTAATCATGTGGTGTAATATATTCTTTTCAAATTATTTAAAACAATTTCCATCAAAGTTATCATAAATCTCACTTCATTCTGAATCCTTCAATGCTAATTTTATCTACCGATTTAATTATTGTATTTTCAACCTTTTGTCAATTTATACCTTTTAAAACATGAGAGTATAGCAATCAGAATGCCCTTTGCTCCATGCAACTATTATCAATTGTAATCCAATTGCACAAGCATAATCCAAGTAATTGCCTGTAAATAAACAAATATATGAAAATTTTTCTACAAGAGATGGAGTAAATTATGCTCGATTGTGAAGAGATAACCCATGTCTAAAGTCCCATTGATGGCCTCATGTAAGGGTCGAGACTAATATACTAACCAGTTTCAATTACAAAAAAATTGGAGGAAATTCGACACTGAGTTCTACCCAATAATAGTATGATAATGCATCAATATGAATTGGAATTAAAAAAAAATGAATAAAAAGCTCCACTTACAGTTTTCTCATTGCTATGGATAGAAGAAAAATGTAATATAGTGACAAGCATACTTTGCTTATCGTGCCATTTAATAAAGAGCTCTTTCTTCTCATAAGCATTAGAAACAACATTTGTTAATGAATTAAATTAACACATGCTTATTTATTTCTTTTTGAATGCATGATGTACATTTGTTCCTTTATTCTTGATTTGGATAAATATATCAAGAGTCAGTTAAATGAATCATCATTCTTCATTTATTCCTTTTAAGGGCAACAAGCATTAACCTCATTATGTGAAGATCTTTTTGCAAAACTTCTAGCCATATTACATTTGATAAAAATCATTTTCTTCCAATCATTCTAAACTAAATTTATCTACTTATCTTATTAGTAAAATTTTCACTACTCATTATATTCAAACTATATATTTTTTTCCCCAGCTTTATCATTAATATCTACCCCTTTGCATCATTAATAAATTTAAATCTCAATTCATCATTCTTAATTTTATCACGAAACAAACTGAACAGTCATTCTTTTTCCTCACTCAATATACACATTAGTGTATTTATTATCACATAACAGTTGGATCCATACATAACATCAGGTATATTTTCTCTCTATCGAACTTGACCTTCAAATCTCCATGATATGATCTTACCACATGGTGCTCACATATTCTCATTAACCACCTACCCTAATTCTAAAAGCTATAAATTCAATTATATCAAATTTTTCTATAAATAAATTCAAGATGCTTAAACCTATCATAAGTTTCATTAGATATTTTAACTTTAAATTTTTCAATAGAAGTACTATGTATGAGAACTACAACATTTATGATCTATGTATAGAATTAAGAAAAAACAGCTTGATTAGCATTCTGCTCCGGTTAGAACACTTTGATGACTACTTTTTATTTTATTTAGGGGGTATGGATCAAAGAAAGAATGAAGTTGGACTCAATATACAAGTGATTAAACCCATTTTCAAACGTAAGATTAATCCCAGGTAAAAGCCAAACATTCGTATTTCTTAAATCTTAACACAGCTATGCTAAAGTAGTCTATTAGGTAAAAGCCAAACATTCGTATTTCTTAAATCTTATGAAGTAAAGTAAATCCCATGCACCATCCAAGATTTATACAAGCTTAACACAGCTATGCTAAAGTAGTCTATTTTCTTTGCATTATAAATGCATTGAATTAAACCAAAACAACTCATGGTTTGTAGAAAAGATTTTTGTGGGGCTGATAAGTACAAATATTGTAGCAATATTTTAACAAATCTTCCGCACCACATAATATTGTTGCAATACATTATAGATCTCCATCATGAATCCACTCCAAATCAAAGTATCTAAGCTCCAAATGCCACAAAAAGTCAAGCACCTTGAATCTCAACAAGCCTAGATGACATCTGAACTTTAAACTTGCAAGAGATCTCTAAAGCACATGTCACATTTGCCAATAAATCTATATACACTCTAAGTGCTTCTCTCTGTACTCAAAATGTTGTAAGGAACAACCTGCAACTAGGACAAACTGCACAACGTGAGATCGATCTAAATGGCCATTTATGTTTTGCATCAATGAAGTAAAGCTTTGTTGGCTTTTCCAAACGATGGTGATTTAATACAGATGATACGAAAGCAAAGCTTTTCTACTTAAAGTTATACCCCCAACACAAAGACCACTAGCTCAATTAACCTTTATGAAAATCAATGAATCTATAGACTTGAGAACTTTAGCATATCCTAGGAATTCGCATTCTGCACAATTAAGTACTAACAGGATATAAGACCCCCTGTAGGTTCCACGACATGCCTGAATTCAATCAATCTTTTAATTATATCATCATATATGATGTATGTTAAACTTCATCTTGTGAAAACCAATAGTTCAAATAGTGCATTGCTTCTCAAATAAATAACCAAAGCAGGAATTAATACAATGAATCCAAATAAAAGACTTCACCTGCAAATGATCAAATTCATGCTGGAAAATCCGAGCCGGAAGACCAGAAAGATTAACCCGAAACCTTGCTCCATTTATATCTCTAGCATCAATCTTGACAGATGCGGGTCTCTGTTGGAAAAAGAACATAAGAAATATTAGCTTCAATCCAGAAGACAAGAAAACAGAGAGAATTTGACACTATTAAAGATGGTTTGGAAACTTCCATTCAAACTTCAGCAGGTGTAAAAAAATCGAAGAGATTAACAATTACCACTACATCAGCATAGATTCCAGGAAACGATAAGCAGCCTTCATTGTAAGAAAAAGTATTTTTAGAGGACTTGTGCACTACAGGGTTTACAAGCACAATCTCTTCTCCTTCACCACGTTCACCAACAGGATTAAAAACCATAAGCTGAATGTTCATCCCAACTTGGGGTGCCGACAACCCAATGCCATCAGTTCTGTCTCAAAACCTCTAAATTTCAAGCTACAACCACTTTGCAAGGAATTAAGCAGTTAGGTTATATCCGGAAGAAAAAAAACACTCACTTGTACATTACATCAAACATCTCGTCGGCTAACTTCTTCAAACTCTCGTCAAAGGTACCGATCCTCTTGTTCTTAGCCCTCAACCTGGGATCCGGATATTCAACAATCTTGAGCGGCGCAGCATGATACGAATCAGCAGCTGGTAAACAGAACAAAAAAATGAACTTGGCGGGTCACCCAAATCAGCATCTTATCCCTCGACTGATTCGCTGTGGAACGAGGGGGGAAACTATAGAGAGAGTGAACTAGGTTTCATTTGGCTTACGGGAGGCCAAGTTGTCTTCCTGGAAGGAGAAGCCGCGCCGGGCCTGACCGGCGTGAG